ATTTCTAAAACATGTATTTTATTATTGTTTCCTTCTGAGTGCTAGATTAGAGATATTAAAAAATTACCAAAGGCTACACTGTGTTCAGAGCAGGTACAAGAAGGATAGCTAGACATTATAGCTCACTCCAACACAGTAGCTCATCAACTCAGAACGAATTGTTAAATAAGGAGATTCTCAATTTGTCTCAAATTTTCAACAAAGAAGTTTGATAACATGCCCTGCCCACCTCTGTAAGGGTATATAAGTAGACACCAACAGAAACCTCATCTACAGGTAGTCTTCAGCCTACAACCACAATTGACCCCCCAAATTTATGTTGTTAAGTGGCAAATTCGTTTAGCGAGTTTTGCCCCATTTTCCTTGCCACATTTGTTAAGTGAACCACTGCAGTTCTTAAATTAGTAACATGGCTGTTAAGTGAATCTGGTTTCCCCACTGACTTTTCCTTGTCATAAGGTCGCAAAAGGGGCTCACATGACCCCAGGACACTGCAACTGTCATAAATGCGAGTTAGTTGACACACATCCCAATGTAAATCATGTGACCGTGAGGATGCTGCAATGGTCATAAGTGTGCAAAATGGGCATAATAGTCACTATTTTCAGTGCTGTTGTAACTTTGAATGGTCACTAAATGAACTGTTGTAAGTCGAGGACTACCTGTATATCCAGGTTAAAGCCACCGCTGTAAAACAGCAATACTCTGCCATCGAACTGCTTTGTTCTCCAGATGAACAGTCACCAAAGCCGCAAGGGGGAGATAAAAATCTCTCACTTCATTAATGCCAATGGGAAGCATTATAATTTGGTGAATAGAGGGCTTGTATAGAAACGTACATGATGCTCAGGGTTAGTGCCTAATCCTGCATTTATTACTTTACAGCTACATGAAAATAGATGTTTATCTTCTGAGGAATTAAACTAAATTTCTGTCAGCTTTCTGAATCTGGCATGTCAATTTTTCAGCACAGTTTGAGATAAAAGCTGAACATCAGTACTCTTAGAACCTACACTGGCAGTCTTCGACTTGTGACCAGAATTTCTATTGCTAAGCAAGGCAGTTGTTAAGTGAATCTTGCCCAATTTTACAACCTTTTTTTTGTTTCAGGGTTGTTAAAGGAATCACTGCAGTTGTTAAGGAAATCATATCGTCCTTAAGTGAATCTGACTTTCACCATTGACTTTGCTTGTCAGAATCAATCTGGGAAGGTTGGAAATGGCTGCTCTGACCTAAGCTTCCCAAGATCATGAAACAGACTCCTCATCCCAATAAAACCCCTTTTATTTAGGTTAAAGGGAATTCCTCTCCAGCAAAGTCCTGGCAAAGAGTCTTTCATGAGATTTCACAACTACGGACCTTTATCAGCCTTGGAGAGTTGCCAGGCTGATCTCTTTCAAATGCCACGCTATAGCAGCAATTCCTTGGCAAGAAGTCAGGAACAGATCTTCACTCTAATGAATTGAACTAATTGTCTCAAACAATTAGTTAGTGCAGACATCACTCCCCTTTCGTTCTTCTTTATTCCCTATGGGAGGGGCCATTCACCATCCACCTGAGCCTTTACTCCCGAGTCAACCCTTTTTCCTTAAATGTTCCCTTTTCCTGGCATCTCTGTGCATGAGCACAGTGGGAACAGGCTCCAGCTGTTCTTCTGCCCCACTGATCTCCAACTCTGAAGGCAGCTGATAACTGTCAGATGGCCCTGGCCCGAACTCTGCCTCCGATGCAGAGCACTTCCCCAGACTCCAGGACTGACCCATGTTCCTTCCCAACCTCCTCACTGTCCAAGTCTGCCGCCAGCTCGGTTGGCTGCTGGCAGGCCACAACAATGGTGATCAAGTAACCTGGGACACTGCAACTATTATTAATACATGCTGTTTACCAGTCACCCACATTTTGATCATGTGATTGAGGATGCTACAGTGGTCATTAAGTGTGAGGAACCAGCCCCAAGTCACTTTTTTTTCAGTTCCATTGTAACTTTGAAAGATTATTAAGCAAATGGTTGTAAGCTGAGGACTACCTATAGTCCTCAGCTTACATATAGTCCCCTCATTAGTTTCAAATGGTAGCATGGAGTGGAAGAAGATGAGTTAGCCATTAGCCTGGTATATAAAAAAAGGCCTATGGCATGGGTGTCAAACTCATGGCCAGCAGGCCAGTTGCATCATGTGCTGGCCATGGCCACCCCTGGTTTAGTGGAGGGGGGGGAAAGTCACAATAAGTCACATGATGACAAGATGATGCCACGAGTTTGACACCCCTGGTCTACGGGCTCCAGATTTAATCTAGCATTAGGAAGAAAAAGATGAAAATAAATAGACGTTGCCAGATTACTTTCTTGCTAAACTTGTTCTTTTACATCCTTATTGGTTGGCTTTTTCTGTTTTTGCTGAGCATACATCCTACAGCTATTCCATAGCTTTAAAAAAAAATAGAAAATTCAGAAACACCAGAAAGATCATTCTTGATATATCCTAGCTTCTGCTAAAATGAAAAGGGTAGACATTCCCTGGAATGTTGCAAAATGTCACATATCACAATTTCATGGAATGTAAGGATTGGAAGAAACTTACATCACCTTCTACCTTATAATTGTAACATACATACATACATACATACATACATACATACATATATACATACATGATCCATCATTCAGGAAGACTATCAAGGGCTGTATTTTAGCTCAAAAATATTAATGGAATGGAAAATACCAATGGAATTGAGAGAATTAGAAAAGATTTTTTCAATAAGTCCATTCAAGAATTTTAGATTGAAAGTGTAAAGACAACAAAGGATCTCCAGGGCAAAAGAATTGATTGTAAAATTTAATGAATGTTAAGTCTAGTTTCTTTATACTTCAGAATAGGTCAGCATATTTAAGAGTTGGAAAGAAATGAACAACTTACCAACATATCTGAATCAAGAATACTGATGGAACTTACTGAATGGGAGAGAATTTCCTGTGATGCAAACTGCTAATCTAATATTAAACATGATTATATATTAGAAAGGAGAGTGGGTCGCAGAGTTCAGTGCTCTCTCTTCTTTTCAACATCTACACAAGACTGGCTTGTTTAGAATAGAACAGAACAGAACAGAAGAGTTGGAAGAGACCTTGGAGGTCTTCTAGTCCAACCCCCTGCCTAGGCAGGAAACCCTACACCACTTCAGACAAAATGTTGTCCAACATCTTTTTAAAAACTTCCAGTGTTGGAGCATTCACAACTTATGGAGGCAAGTTGTTCCACTGATTAATTGCTCTAACTGTCGGGAAATTTTTCCTTAGTTCTAAGTTGCTTCCCTCCTTGATTAGTTTCCGCCCATTGCTTCTTCTCCTGCCCTCAGGTGCTTTGGAGAATAGCTTGATTCCCTCTACTTTGTGGCAGCCCCTGAGATATTGGAACATGCTGATGATATTCAACTCTCTATCTCAGCCTCTAGTGAATTAAACAATACCATGAACATCTTATTTGTTGTATGGGGACTGTAAGAATCTAGATGCGAAACAACAGGTTTCAACTGAATCTTGGAAAGACTGAATGGCTATGGATCTTGGGGCCTATTGATTCTAGGACTGTGCCATCTTTACTGATTCATCTGTATTTGGAGTACGGTGTCCAGTTCTTGGTAGGATATTTGTTTAAAAGAGAGATGAAGAAGTGGAAGTAGAATGGAAGAGGTATGTCAAGATAAGGGGGCCAACTATTGTTGAGGGTTTTGAAAAGCTTTCATTTTTAACTTACAAAACAGAAGACTGGGGTAAGATGTGGTCACAATTTTCAACAATCTAAAAAGTTCTACTTACAACAAAGGACAGCTCTTTTCTTAAATTTGGAGCAGAAGAAGATTAGACGATTGAAATGAAAAGGAGGATTGAAATGAAAATGAAGGAAGTTCAGGCCAAATATTTAGATTAATTTCTTGACACTAGGAGCCATTGAACAATAGAACACACTATGAAAAGCCTCACTGGAGGTGTTCAGCTAAGAACTAGAGAGATAATGACAAATAAGCATGCAGTGTTCACACTTCCGTTATTCAACTGAAACCCAGCAGTTATATGCATAAATAATTTAACATGGAATAATCAATCTGCTGTTTTAATTTATTAAAGCATTTAAATCCTCTTCGCCCCTCCTCCAATTTTTAATCAATGATTCCTAAGATGCTTAACAACATACTGTATGTAAAAACATAGTCATTGCTTTCAAATAAAAATAAATGCATGTATATTTGTGTATATAAAATGGAAAGTTTATATGGTGGCAAACAATACAGACTGAAAATATGTGCATTGTTGTTTAGTAGAAAACCTCCTCTCTCTTTATTAGAATTCTTTCCCAAATTATTAGCTGGACACCGAATTACTGTCCTGGAGTGGAAGACAACTTTTGTTTAATGAGCTTGCAAGAGAAAATCACTAGTCTGAAGACATAATATTAAACAAAGATCTTATCTGTAATGGTTTGTATCCTAGTCATTATAGTGAAACTTGGCTACAAGTTTATTGTGAGGATGAATTTATGTGATCCTATACAGGTAGTCCTCAACTTACAATGGTTCATTTACTGACCGAAGTTACAACAGCAATGAAAAAAGTGACACGACCATTTTTCACACAAACATTACAGCATCCCCAGCGCCATGGGATCAAAATTCAGATGCTTGGCAACTGTCTCATATTTATGATGGTTGCAGTGTCCTGGGGTGGTCATGTGATCCCCTTTTCTGATCTTTTGACAATGGAAAAGCCAGATCACTTTGCAGCCATGTTGCTAACACAACTGCAACGATTCACTTACCAACTGTGACAAGAAAGGTCATAAAACAGGGCAAAGTTCACTTAACAACTGTGTTGCTTAGCAGCAGAAATTTTGGGCTCAATCATGGTCGTAAGTCGAGCACTACCTGTTTTCACAGCAAGTGCTAAAGCTATAGAGAAAATGGCAAATAAGATAAAAGTATCTACTGTTTGTTTTATGTTCTTCTAGGACAGTTTCCCAGCTCGATTTGGAGGAATTCATTTTGTCAATCAGCCATGGTACATCCATGCCCTTTACACAGTTATACGTCCATTTTTAAAGGAGAAGACAAGGAAGAGGGTAATTTTATTCATCATTGTTTCCATTGTATTTCATAACTTGATAGCCTTGAAAACTGAAGAACAAATACATGTTCCAGTGTCTTATTTTGTGGTTTTAATTATATACCTGTGCCAGATAAAACATTAATAGAATTAGTATATTCTTTATTGGCAAAGTGGGATTGGACACCTAAGGAATTTGTCTCTGATACATAAGCTCTCCATGTACATACAAATACTGACACAGCAAAGGATAAAAACAGATTTTCAACTTATTGTTTCTTGAACGACACAAATCAGTCCCATTTATTAAAAGCTCAATAGTTATTTGCACAGCTGCCTAAGCAGACTTGGTTCATTTTAAAAACAGTGTTCTGAAATGGGAGAATTAAGCTATGTAATCTTGGTAAAAAGTACTATATCTATATATTCACAGAGTCCATGACGGATGTTTTCTTTGGTGGTTGAACTCTAGGGATTCACTTTGTTTCTGCATTTGTTGTCTGATGCTTATCAAAGCAACATGTAAAAATAGTAAAAAAACACACATTATTTTACATTGAATTTGATCCTAAGCACAAGGTGAAAACACCAGTAAACCCACACACACAGAGACATGCATACATTCATCAAAAGCATGCCTCTCAGCCTCTCACTAAAATCCCAAGATCTCATTTTTTTAGTTGCGGCTAAGTTTCAAAAGCAACTTGAAATGGAGAATTTAATAAGCTTGCTCTTTAGAAATGTAATACCAAATTCTATAGAATTCTATAGAAGATGAAGGCAGTTGGTTTTCCAGTTGCTTCTCTTTGTGACTTAATGGATACCATTCTACTAACAGGAATGTGTATCAGTAACCTCTTTGAATTCTCGTAAGCTGTTACTTCTGTCATCAGTGATATTATCCAATCACCTTGTCTTCCACTGATCTCTTTTTTAAATTGTTGCTTAATCTTCCATTCCAATTGTTACTTCCTGATCATCATACACATTCTTCAACAGGCAGAGGGAAAGGCTTGGGTATACTCCTTTTAAAGGTTAACCACAATTTGTTGTGGTTTATGTAGTCAAAACTTTTGGATAATTAATAAATAGTCTTCTTTTTGGACTTTTCGCTATTCAGTGGATCATGGGCATCTGTAAGCTTCAGATCAAAATGGGGAGAGATGCATTGCACCATTGGGTCTCAAGCTCTGCCCCTGTTGGATATGCATGTAATTTCATGGTGCACTACCAGTGGGGCGGAGCTTGTATTTTGCCAATGTAATATATTTTCATCATTCTGCCCTTCTTTTCATTGTATTGTGAACTTGGATGATCCTAACTCTTCTAAATCATTGGGTGCATAAGCCTCTTTACAAATATAAGTTAGTAATCCCTGAAGGAGCCTGAAAGCCTTAAAAATCCATCTCTCAACAGCATCTTTAGGTAACCAATTGCATTTAAAAAGAAATCTTCTGAAACATTTGGGAAATTGTCTGTGATAAAAACCACATTTTTGAGCTGCCCAACTTTTCAGATAGCTATATGTATTATTATAGATTCCGGTTATTTTACAATGTATTATATTCCTCTTTTTCCTAGATATTTCTCCATGGAAACAACCTCAACAGTCTGCACCAGTTGATTCATCCTGAAATTCTCCCTTCTGAATTTGGAGGAATGCTTCCACCTTACGACATGGGCACATGGGCAAGAACGCTGCTAGATCACGAGTATGATGATGACAGTGAATATAGTGTGGATTCCTATAACACATCTGCAAAAGAAGTTGAAAAGGAGCTCTCACCCAAATCCATGAAGAGGTAAGTTAATGTTGCTTTCTGAAGCAGGAAATGCTTAGGTGATCTCTCAGGTCAAATACCTGTTCTTAAGTACTGATGCCTTTCTCTTAAATTATGGGACCATTCCAAAAAATTAGGGATGGGAAACTTAAGTAAATCTTTGGATCAAATTGCTCAGATGCCAGTCTGGAACTCATCTCCTCCTTGAACACCATCCTCTGGTATTCTTTCCTTTGCTGGGAAGGCAACTCAACTTTCATTCCAGTCCTTCTCTATATGGAAGACTATATAATTACGTCCAATCTTGCTCAGTTCAGAATAGTTGTTTTCAGCTACCATTTGTAAGCAGAAAACCCCCTTGCTCTATTTAGGAGGAGAAATAGGGCATAGAGGAAGAAATAAAACAGTATTATGGTTGAAGATGTTCCCTCTCTGGATTTAGGGATATGCTACTCTAGAGATACATTTACAAGGCATCTAGGCATCATTATACTTGTGGATAATCAGAGAGAAGACCGACTTTTCATTCTTCAGGCAGTTCCACCAAAAAAAGAGAGAGAGGGGGGAAAACTACTTTTACAAATTTATCAGACCTGGGAAATTTGCTGTACCTACACAAACCACACTGACTGTTTCCCCTAGAAACTAAAGAATGCCCTTCCTGGAAAATTTAGTGAAGCATATGCTCTCCAGGGCTTTGGACTGAGCCCTCTCAACTGTCTTTGTTGCTTATCCTTTCCCTTTCCCCACCCCCTCATTGTGGATTAATATTCCCTCTGTATTTGCTGTCATTCATTTCTCACTTCATGATCTCTAGCCTCTGAACATGGAGGCCAGAACATCGACCAACGGGTTTCCATTGTTAAAAAGCCATTATCACTTATTTAGAAAATGAAAATAAAACTGATAAAGGGGACCATTCACGGATGAGGTGGCGTAGGAAATCAGTTGATGTTCAAGGTCAGCTTTGAAGCTAAGTGCTAGCTTGGAACCCACATAAACAGGCAAGTTTTCTCATGCATACACAGATTTTTCTCGCTTTACAAAAGGTGGATTTAATTTAGGGAGGAACATTACATGACCTTAGCACAAAGCAAGGAACACCTGTACTTAGTATGCACAGGGGTACGGGTTAACCTGCATTCATCATACCAACTTGCATGTCCCACACCATTTATCCAGATGCTGTACAATTCTTTCAATACCAAGTTAGACAGTATTACTGGGGAAGGAATTGCATATAGATCTGCACTTCCATGCTGGGGTATGCATATAGAAGAGACTTATGGTTCCACAATGGTTGCAATTTGTTGCTGAGCTGCTAAGCTGTGAAATAGTCCAAGTTTGCTGAGCTGAACTTTACTGAAGGAGAGCATCCATGCCTAATTCTACTGCCCATTTCCCTTCGGGCAAGTGCTGCAATGCCCTCTTTTAGATCTTATTTTGAAACAGAGCCTTTGCCACCTTTTCACATACAGCATTCATGTGCAATTTCATGCACAATAAGCTAGGGTCTGTCCCTCATAGGAACATCATTCTGTGCAACCTGTCAATTGCCCATCAACTTTTATGGAACCCCTCCCCATCCTCCCCAAACCCCACTTTCAGATGGATGGTATGTGTAAAAGGCTGCTCCCTAACCATCCTTTGCCCATTCCTCTGAAGACTTTCAGCTGTAAACTTTCAGATGCACTTTTTTTTTCTAGTTCATCAGCTTGTCTTCCCAACTATAATGAAGACTTTTGAGCGAAGGGCTCCTGGGAATGAAGAACAGGAGCCAGACAAAATAAGAGGCAGAAAAGTGCTTCCTAGCAACATGGAATCAAACTTTATTCAGCCTTTGCCTCCTCTAATGGCAAAGGCAAAGTGTGAGGGAGGTAACTGGGAAGAAAATCACTCCCACCCATCTGGAACTGGCAGCTTCAAAATGATCCAGTTTTTTTTTTTTTTTTAAAAGAAGGTTGGCATTTAGGTGGGGAATGCATGTCAGCAAAAGCCACAATAGACTGAAAGGAGAGGCCTGCTGGCCAAATCTGATCTTACAATCACTTTTTTTTTTCATCCCCGCTTTAGGAAACATGGCTGGGTTTCTTTTCAGAAGGTCTTGCATCAGCCATCATATTCCCCAAGCATATTTTCTAGTTGCAGTCTTGCTTTCTTAATAATGCGAAGAAGCTTGCCTTTTTGTTGTCGCTAAAATGAGTCACAATAGGTCTTTGCTTAATGTTTTTCTAGGTCTCAATCTGTTGTGGACCCCGGAGTGCTCAAGCGCATGGATAAAAACGAAGAAGAAAACATGCAGCCATTGCTTTCGCTTGACTAGCAATCTGAGCATCAAAAATGAATTAGGGTGGAAGGTATTGCTTTTCAGAACCATCCATTGAGAAAGAATGTACAAGTCAGGATCCTATTTTTCATGTTAACGTAGCATATTCTAATGAGGTAGCAGGTTTTGCAAGGCATCCTAGCTACCCCTGAGCTGGAAAACAGGGTGGGGGAAAAAATAAACAGGAGAAAATATCAATAATATATTCTCTTAAGTGCCAACCTGTTTGTAAATAGTCTTTTCCTTCTCTGTGCATTTGTAAGTAATGATAGGAATTATATAGTACAGGAAAAAAAATAAAGTGGCCATTAACGTGCCAGATGAAGGCACTGTAAAAGAACGGAATGAACTCAGACAAAATCAGAAAATCAGACTCTAGATAGATGTCATCCTTTTTATACAAAGCCATATTTCAGCTGCCACACTGCTTCGTTCGTTTCTCGTCATTTCCATTTAGCAAGATAAGATCTGTGGGCCTTGTAACTCAGATTTGCTGGTTTAAAAGATCGCCACAAACCTTGCCGGAGCTCATCATGGGGATTATAAAATAATTCACTGTGGGGAAGAAGAAGAAAAGAAAAGAAATAGTTATAGAGACAAGAAGATAAATACCATTCCTTGGTATATTTTTGGAGACATCTGATATTCACAGTCTGGATTTTGAGAGCTGTTTGGTTCCTGAACACGAATGAAGTCTCATCTAGGTTCCGTGTCTGAGAACTTTATCCTCATGGAACCTATTTCATAATCCTCTGCTCCTTCTACTTCGCAGATGGATGAATGATTTCTAAACTGTACGAAACAAAAGTCTGGATACATATCTATATATTTTTACCAGTCTCTATACATATAAAGTGTCATTGGTAGATAAGTATATTTAATCAAGGATTTATAAGAAAAAAATCATACCTATTTGGTGTGTTTAGAGTTTATTATATATTGTATATTAAGGCAATGTCATTGTTAACTTAGTAAAATATTAAGTACATCATCCTACTTGGAGCAAAACCTAATTATTAGAAGAAAGGTGTGCTACAATGCCATGCTAAGGCCATCTTTTGTTTGTGATGTAATTGTGTAGATGAGATATGTGCCATATTAGACTGAAATAACATTTTTACCTCAGAAGATCAAACAGTACCTGAAGTGGACTATAGTTTAGGAGTGTGTCTTCATCTTTGATTGTGCTGATATGCATGTGTATTTCTGCTGTACATCAAAACAAGAATTGCACCCTACAACTATCTTTCCTTCAGAAAGATTTAATATTACAGTACAGTTGAACAGGAATGACAAGATCTCTTGCTTGCAAAAAAAAGTGTTATGAATAAGCTTCAAGGACTTATGAATCAGTTAAAATACTTGAAATCCTTGACCATGGTGAGATTCAGTGTAGTTTTAAAGATCTTTGATTAAAAGAAAGAAAAAAGCATGAGTATGTTGTGAGCACTGTGTTCCATTCAGAGATTAGGTAATAGTTCATAGATGGACTATTACATCTTAAGTTGGCTCTACTATTGTTGTGTGATTCAGATGCTTAGTCTTTTCAACAGAAAGATGTTTCCTGGTCATTTCCATTACAAATTATTAATATAATGTGAGGCTGTAGTAAACGCTTAGACCATTTTTTGTGCAGTTGAATGCTAAGATAAGAAAGACACATTTACCTTAATTTCTCTTTACCATGTGTACATTTTGACACTCGTGTTCTTCATATTCATTAACTTGATTGTGTTATTAAATCATCCTCATTTTTGGTGGTATAGATACAAAGTTACAGCATAAACTTCCATCTCTCTTGTGTCCTCAGGAGGATCCTTGTAGGGGTGAGCATAAGGCTACAGTGGGAAAGTTCCACTAGGAGTATATACTTTCTATACCCAAAATGCCCTATGTACAGTATTAAGCAGAAAATTCTCAGTGGAAGAATGTTGAAATTAGTGCATCAGAACTGATCACTCTTGGTAGAAATGATTTAGCAAGACTGATGCTGATCACATCAGTGTTCAAGGCATGTTTCTGAAGCAACACTTGCCTCTCTTAGGATATGTGTCATGCCCCTGGTGGAGACTGACTCTGAGCAGTCAGGGGAGGACCCAGGCCCATCCCTTATCCATCCTAGGGCAGTCAGGGAGGAGAGGATCAGAGTAAAATGTGGTCTACTTGGGAGGAGAGGGCCATGATCCTCTTCATGGGTTGCAGGTGTGAGATCTGCATAAGAGTTTGGATCTGCGTGCTAACAGATGCTGGAGACAACTTAGTGTTTTATTCATAAAGAAGGTTTATCTTGGTTGGCGTTCTTCCAACAGACTGTCCCTGGTTATCTTCCTGAAGTTGGCAATTATCTATCCTGGTCTGTCATGGAACTTTATTTAGTGCAGTTTGTTTTTCGTTTTTTGCTTTGTTATCGGCTCTTTGAATTTGAACTGTGTTTCTTTCCTTTGAAATGTTATTTTGAAAATAATTTACTCCTCCACTGTGAACAATTAAACAGTGAAGCCAAGTTGAAGGCATTAAAGGACTTTTATTTAAGTTTTGGTTTTTGTTATATTTCTGACATACTCTGGGTCATCATAATATGCTTCAGCTTCCTTGGAAGGATTACAAAAAGTAAGCAAAAAGTTATGTTTCCTTCACATTGAGCTTGACTCGTGGTGATTATCAATGACTTTTTCCTGACAAATCACTGCTACTGCCTTCTTTTCCATTTCTTTTTCATTTTTGTTTCCTAGTCTAGTTTATAGTTGGAGATTTCCTGAAGGTCTGTCATCCAAATATTAACCAGATCCAATCTTACTTCATTTCCATGGTCAGCCATGTATTGCTATGTGTGGTCGCTTGCTGAGGCCTTAGAGTACATGTCAATGCATTCAGAATTACTGCTAAGAAGAGATTGAACTGGCAATATCAACCAGTCTACTTTCTTTAGTCAGGTACTTATATAAATCATAATGTTCATCATAATGTTTTGAAGCGTATTTCTCACATTCGTACTTTACTGTTTTAGGTGCATAGAGAAAAAGAAAATGGGCAGTTTCTTGGCATCTAGTTTTGGCTTTTAACCTATCTTCTTGTATCTTCATTATCAGAAAGAAGAACTTCACATGTCTCTACTTTCCCAGTGTAATTTCATGCTAGTAGGTTAGAAGTGAGTCCATTTATATTTGTTCTTTGAAGGTTCTTGAACTTAAAAGTCTTCTGAACAGCAACAATACATTCTTACAAAATTTTACAGGAGTAAAAAATGGATGGTTAGATCTTGGTACAGGTAGTCCTCTACTTACAACCACAATTGAGGCCAAAATTTCTGTTGCTAAGTAAGACATTTATTGAGTTTTACCCCATTTAATGACTTTTCTAGGCACAGTTATTAAGTGAATCACTGCAGTTGCTAAGTTAGTAACACAGTTGTTAAGTGAATCTGGCTTCCCCATTGACTTTGCTTGTCAGAAAGTGATCACATGACCCTTGGACACTGCAACCGTCATAAATATGAGTCAGTTACCGAGCATCTGGATTTTTATCACATGACATGGGGATGTTGCAATGGTTATAAGTGTAAAAAAATTGTCATAAATCATTTTTTTCAGTGCTGTTGTAACTTTGAACAGTTACTAAGCAAACTGTTATAAAACAAGGGCTACCTATCCTATAACCTGGTAGAATTAGGATGGTTGAAAAATTAACTTTGTGGATATAATGCTCAGCAAGACAAGTGATAATTATAACAGATACTTTTTCCTCCTGTAATATAAGAACAGAGCAAAGCCCCTCAGCTTGTCAATGCACTACCTGTGACTTTGCAAGATTTTGAGGGCAGCTATCAAAATACCTTCACAAATTGTATCATAACGTTCATGTAACAGAAGGCAGAAAATGTTTAATATGTAGAGAGTTATACAGTATTTGATGTAGTTCATTAACTCTATTTAGTTTTAATTATATGTTAATTTATCCATTCATCTAGATTAATTAAATCAAATTTAGTATTCTGGCTCTGCCCAATATTTGGAATAATGCCATTCAAAAATCAGTTGTGAAGATTAATCGAGAAAGGATGGAAATGAATGATCCTTCTGTGGATCATTGGGCTGGAGTGAAAATGTGATTAAATTGCCTTTTAGTTCCAAAGATGGTTTGGGATAAAGGACTTCAATATAGCACCCAAGTTTCTCTCAAATGATTTGAAAAGGAACAGCCTATAATCTTCACTTGAGCTATAATTTTCAAATACCAAGAACAAGTCAATCCCGGCTATCACCACTAACTGATCATTAAAACGTAAAGCTAAAGGGTTGCTCTGTCCAGTTGTTTCTGACTCTAGGGGGCGATGCTGAGCTCCATTTCTTAGTCAAGGGAGCTAGCATTATTCCATGGTCATGTGGCCAACATGACTATACACCAAGAAAGCCATTGCTTCCCCACTGAAGTGGTACTTATTTATCTACTCACATTTGCAGGCTTTTGAACGGCTAGATTGGCAGGAGCTAGGGAAAGTAACAAGAGCTTCCTTCCGTTGCACAACACTTGGGTCTCAAGCCTGGGCTTTTCGCATGTGCCCCCCCATACACACACACACACACACACACACACATATATATATATCAATCAATCAATCAATCTTATTGAAGCTCATACCAACCTTGGAGCAACAAAAAGCCTCTTCACCTTCATTGCAAACCTAAAACAAAAGGAAATCCCTTCCTCCTTTTTTTTTTTAAATAGAATATGTTGTCCAGTTGTTTTGAAAAAGAAAGAAAATTCTACCAGGCCATCACAATGGGGGTAACTGGAAACCTCACAAAAAGTTGTGAAGGTGGCATGATAGAATGTCACCCATTTTGCAACCCATTTCTCCCAGTGCCTGTAGTGGCTATTGGCTGCAGGTGGAAAACATGGCAATGTGTTGTAAGTAAAAGCAATTTTTTTAAGGCTGTAAGAAGTAAAATTCCTTGTATAGTCCCTAGTCTGTAAAAAAGAAACAAAACAAAGACTAT